GTTCGTAAGCTGTTTTACATACGGTGACAAAAAGTGACATGTGTGTGTATGTTTTATTTATCTCATGCGGACGAGAAACTATGTCGTGGACACGTGTTACTAAGTCGTGCGCATAAAATAATAAGTGGTGCGAAAGAGATACAGTACTATGTCGTATCCAAGAGTTACTAAGTCGTGGACACGAATTACTAAATAAAATAAACCCGGGCTAATTTCTTCTCAAGTTATGGTATGGAAAAGGTTAACAGGTCATTAGTACGTACGACTACATAAAGATCAATCCTATAACATGATGTTTCTAACAAAGTGCAAAAAAAGATATTAAAATCTGATTTATTGGTCTTGGATAATGACCTGTTCTTATGATACTTAATACATGTACAATGTTTAAAGTTGATATCTTAAGAAGTGTAGTAGATTAACGTTGCATGTAAAATTTTAACCAGACTTTTTTTAAGTTTACAACCTTCATAATTATATAATTTTATCTGATTGGATAATTATCTTGTTTGCACAGCATAATTATCTCGTAAGCACAGCTTAGTAGCTCGTGGCCACTACATATTATCTCGTGGGCACCACTTAATTATCTCTAGCGCACAAAAAAGTAACTGATTGCCACGACATAGTTTCTCGTGCGCACGACTTAGTATCTCGTGGCCACGACATAGTATTTCCTGAGCACATGTCGACTCTTTCACATCTACATATATTCGTAAAAAACGTTATTAACCTTACATTTAATTACTTCAGTCGAGACAAAGTCAGTTACTTTGATATAATCTGCATTAGATTGTTTCCGTAAATTAATTTCATCAAAAAAAAGATAAATTTTACAAGTGACAGAATATCTAATAAACTGTCAGAATATTCAATGTCTAAATTATTTTTGAGATCTTTTTTCATCTGAACATAGCATATCATCGTATTACAAACCTCTCATTCATGCGTATCCTGGGCACAATTGAAGTTTTGAGCAATATGTTTTGTATTTATAAATTCATGGTGTTTGTAAGGTAAATAGGGTTAGCGACGATTGGTGGTTAAGTATATTACAGTTTGTAGCACTCTTATATTTTGAAATGCGTAACTCGTTGTTTCGTGTATGTTTGCGTGTGTGCGCACGTGCGCGTGTGCGTTTGAGATTATTTATACTCGCTAGAGCCCAAATTTTAAATGCTTCTCCTGGTTCTTTAACGTGCCTAGTGTTTAAGCTCTCATACACGGGACCTCGATTTAAAGTCTAATCCGAGAGACTGATTAGTAACTTTAGTGGACCAGCCCGGGGATCGAACCCACAATGTCAAGATTACAAGTCTGACTTTTATTGTTGCTCGGGGGTGTTCGTGATTATCTGCTATTAGCGCTATTCTCGTGAACGTCTGTCAAACAATTATACGTGTATGTTGGATCAACGGATTGTTAAACGGGTTGTTTTGTTTCACGGTTAAAGTTCTGTTTGTATATCCAATGTCTTTAATGAATGTTAAAACGGCGAAACATACATGTATTTCTTCAGCTACTTCTTGCAGAGAGTCCATTAGCAATTTTATGTCTTTAAACGTATCGTTTAATTTGCAGATGGATGCCTCAATATCTTTGCGCGGTACTGCATGTTGCTTGCATGGCTGATTACAATCTTGACAGTTTTTATCGCTCGCGAATGAATGACCTTACAGTCTAGCATGATTTAACTATGAATAGAAAAAAATGTACTCTAGACAAAATTTATCATAAAATTGTTTAACTGTTCCTACTTAAAGAAATATAAATCTAGTGTTTTTTTAAAGTATCAGTAAATCTTTAAGGGACTCCACTGAGGTTAAAAAGCCTAAAAACATAACATTTAATTGATTACATAAATGAGGCTAAGGCACTTTAAACAGAAATATATGCAAAGATAGTTAAGAATTATACTTTGAAATAAATTGAAAATGGGTTGTTTATACTTTATACGGCATGTCTATACGTTATAGCTCGATTTGAGTGAAAAGCGTTCAAACGCTTTTCATTTTGTGTCATTTTTTACAATTTAAATAATTATTCTGGAAAGACAAAGTGCGCGAATGATCTAAAATTATTAATTTAACAATTATTGATCTTACTAACAATGTGGTATAAAAAAAATTATCATTTTAGAAAATCTAAAAAGTATTAATAGAAAATAGGTCTACTTATCTGTGGTTCTTTTTTCATTTAATGTTTGTATAAGCTGCTATTTTATCTCATAGCGACTGAGTAAATAATAATATTTTTAAAAATAGAACTTAAGAGTGCCGTAAAATATAATCTAGACATATACGCATAAATACATAACCCCTGCAATAAGTTTTTCTTAAAGGTCCAAAATGCATCAGTCATGCTACCATTTTTATTTAAAAAAGAATGTTTAGTTTTTGGTATCTTGTTACAGTTTTTTTATAGTTAAACTCATTTTCCATATATCTAGGCTTTCTGCAACTGTGTGTATATCTTTTTGTTACATTTCTCTTCCTTCAACACTCAATAATTGAAATATTCTTCTGTTGGTAGATAGAGGGAATAACTAACTTAATGACAATTACTGCACGGTCAGCGAAGTATTTGTATAATTATGTGTGTAATAAAAGTATTAACGCTACGGTGAACCATAAAACTGATATTTTCTTAAGTTTATGATAATACACTTATCTGCTTCCAGAATAAAAGAGGATTTTCCGAGTGTCCCTCTTTTTGGCCCGTTTTAGAGTTATTTCTTTGAAAAAACACACTAAAAAATACTGCTTTTTGGGCAAAATAGGACAAAAACAGAAAAATTTTAGTAATATATCTTTATTTTTCAACAATTTTGTTCATACGTCTGAACAAAAAACAAGAATAGTGTAAAAAATAACAAAAATATATGCAGTTTCAAACTTGTTCATACGTATGAACAAATTTTTTTCTCAACTTGTCAAGATTTTGTTCATACGTATGAACACTGAATAAGTTCACCAATATTTAGTATCTTTTAACAAAATTTTGTTCATACGTCTGAACAAATTACCTCACATACTGAAAAACAGCACATAAATAAGACAGACGCTTCAATGTTGTTCATACGTATGAACAATTTTGTTTTCAACTTGTAAGGTTTTTGTTCATACGTATGAACACTGCATCACAATCTTTTGTGGTCATTTTGAAACAAATTTGTTCATACGTCTGAACAAAAACTGACACAGAGTAAAAAACAGCCACTTCGATTTTGTTCATACGTATGAACAAAACTTTTTTTTTTTAATTGGCAGGTTTTTGTTCATACGTATGAACACTGGCATAATTTTGTGATTATTTTAAAACAAATTTTGTTCATACGTCTGAACAAAACTAACTCACACAGCGAAAATAGCACATTAAAGTAATTAGCATTTCAATTTTGTTCATACGTCTGAACAAAACCAACTCGCACAGTGAAAATAAAGACAAAAATAAGCCGCTTCGATTTTGTTCATACGTATGAACAAAATTTCTTTTTCAACTTGTGAGGGTTTTTTCTTACATAATTTATTATTATGATAATGAACACTGCATAATTTTATGGTTATTTTGAAACAAATTTTGTTCATACGTCTGAACAAAACAAACTCACAGAGCAAAAATAAATGACAAAAAATTAGCCGTTTCGATTTTGTTCATACGTATGAACAAAATCCTGTGAGGTTTTTTTCATAGTCATAGATGATAATAAACACTGCATAATTTCATAATTTTGTGGTTATTTGAAAACATATTTTTGTTCATACGTCTGAACAATTGTTTTGTTCAGACGTATGAACAAAAAAATGTTTTCAAAGTAACCACAAAATTAAGAAATTATGCAGTGTTTATTATCATAGTAAAATATAACACATAAATTAGCAACAACTTCAATTTCAGGTTTTTGTTCATACGTATGAACACTGGCATAATTTTGTGATTATTTTGAAATAAATTTTGTTCATACGTCTGAACAAAACCAACTCGCACAATGAAAATAAAGACAAAAATAAGCCGCTTCGATTTTGTTCATACGTATGAACAAAATTTCTTTTTCAACTTGTGAGGGTTTTTTCTTACATAATTTATTATTATGATAATGAACACTGCATAATTTTATGGTTATTTTGAAACAAATTTTGTTCATACGTCTGAACAAAACAAACTCACAGAGCAAAAATAAACGACAAAAAATTAGCCGTTTCGATTTTGTTCATACGTATGAACAAAATCTTGTGAGGGTTTTTTCATAGTCATAGATTATAATAAACACTGCATAATTTCATAATTTTGTGGTTATTTGAAAACATATTTTTGTTCATACGTCTGAACAATTGTTTTGTTCAGACGTATGAACAAAAAAATGTTTTCAAAGTAACCACAAAATTATGAAATTATGCAGTGTTTATTATCATAGTAAAATATAACACATAAATTAGCAACAACTTCAATTTCAGGTTTTTGTTCATACGTATGAACACTGGCATAATTTTGTGATTATTTTGAAACAAATTTTGTTCATACGTCTGAACAAAACCAACTCGCACAATGAAAATAAAGACAAAAATAAGCCGCTTCGATTTTGTTCATACGTATGAACAAAATTTCTTTTTCAACTTGTGAGGGTTTTTTCTTACATAATTTATTATTATGATAATGAACACTGCATAATTTTATGGTTATTTTGAAACAAATTTTGTTCATACGTCTGAACAAAACAAACTCACAGAGCAAAAATAAACGACAAAAAAATAGCCGTTTCGATTTTGTTCATACGTATGAACAAAATCTTGTGAGGGTTTTTTCATAGTCATAGATGATAATAAACACTGCATAATTTCATAATTTTGTGGTTATTTGAAAACACATTTTTATTCATACGTCTGAACAATTGTTTTGTTCAGACGTATGAACAAAAAAATGTTTTCAAAGTAACCACAAAATTATGAAATTATGCAGTGTTTATTATCATAGTAAAATATAACACATAAATTAGCAACAACTTCAATTTCAGGTTTTTGTTCATACGTATGAACAAACCCACAGCAGTGAGGGGCAAGTGGTTTGAAGTCAATGACCTTAACCACTCGGCCACGGACACCCCCATGCAAATAACTAATTGCTTAACATTGGTCTTGTGAAATGAAGTACTATTTATAGCAAACTTAACACCTTGGGACAAGGGTCTTGGATGCACACATCATCTTGATGTGATAGACATTTATTTTAAAATCCTCTAATGCATGACAACTTTACAGTTTGAAAACTAATGCGTACCTTCAAACTCTTCTTATGACCTTAAGTACCTTCAAACTATTAGAGTGACCTTCACCTTGGAGGTAGGAACATGGGTTTTACACACAACACATCATCTTGATGTGGTTGACATTTGTGCTAAGTTATTTTAAAATCCTTCGATGCATGACAAAGTTACAAGGTATATTCCGGACACGAATGTGTGTACCTATCTCTAGTTGTGATAGTGTGAACCTTCAAAATAAAAGTGTGAACTTGACCTTTGAAAAGGGACGTGGTTCATGAATGCGACACATCCTCTTGATGTGGTACACATTTGTGCCAGGTTATTTCAAAATCCCTCAATGTATCACAATGTAAAAGAAGTATTAAGGAGAAATTTAAGATATATCCAACTTGCCTGAAAAGGTTAACCATACACTATTATTATGCTCTATTTTCAAAGTGATAAAAAGGGAAATAACTGTGAAAAATTGATGGCACAGTAATATTACTTAGCAATATCAATGCACTTTGTACTGAGAAGTACCTGTGAAAATTATGAAGCCATTAGTATAAACTGAACTTAAGATATATACAATTTGACGGTTTTGGTTAATCATTTCATTTTCAAAGTGCTCAAAAGGGCAATAACTTGGTAAAAATGGGAGCCATAGTTATGTAACTTGCCCCTGGAGATTGTATTCTTTGAACTGATTAGTGAATGTGTGAATTATGAAGCCATTGGTGCAGGTAGAACTCAAGAAAAAACTTGCTGTTTTAGGTTATCCTTATACAGACAGAAAGACGGACAGTTCAATTACTATATGCCCTGGGGCATGCATAAAAAATATTGAGCGTGTGATTATATTAATAATGTGGTACATATTCCTTGTATGCATAAACATGATAAATATAGATAAAACCTCATTATTTTATGAAAACCAAATTCACAAGATGGTATTTGCGTATTAAATTATTTCTTAAATAAAGCTATTCCATTTTTCAAGTATATTTTTCTCATATATCTAAGCCACTTCTGTATCATGATTTCTGTCCAGCAAACTTTATCTGTAATATGAATCCTAGCAAGGCTTCATAATTGCCGTTTGGGATAATTCCAGCAAATTTAGTTGATATTGCACTTTAACATTTTCTCTCACAAACAGACTAAATCAAGCGGATTCTGCAAGTTTTAGATATTTCTGTTCTTTCATTGCTATTTTGATATCTGACTCCCTTTCTAGATTTGTTTTCTTTTCATGGCATGTTTCATGAACTAGTAAATTATTGAGTTGCTCACACATTTCAGTTAGCTTAGATTTTCACACAGACATGGCTCTCTTTCATTGGCTGGTAGAAATAATATGTTTCTAGAACACATACACAGCTATATATAATGAATACATCAAAATGTTACTGGAAATGCGTTTACAAGTCCATCCACTTAAGATCCTAAATATTCTTTAGAAAGGCTAAATTCTAAAGCTTCATTACAGTACAGATGTTGACTTGAGTTAAATCAGTTGAACACATGAAACACGCTAACCCTCAAACTTTTTCTGTATCTTTTAATTGGTATTGTCATTATATAATCATTCATGTAACACTGCCATGTCTTCCTTTTTCATGTAAGCTTCCACCACGAAATAAGGCAGGCCTTTCCCCAGGCTCTTTTAGTGCTGCGCTCTCAGCTCTGCCTTGGTCTCCAAATCAATTAAAGGTCCTACAAAATACAAATAAAAAACATTCTTAATGAGATAACAAATAACAGTACATGTACACTTCAAAAATTTCCTTTTAAAATTCTAAACGCTTTTTTTTTTAACAGGTGAATTTAAAAGTAATTTTGTAAATTTCATGTATATTCAAAAGTATAATAAACTTAGTATTTTCTGGTATTAAAACTATATTTTTTTTCCAATAATATACAAATAATGCAACATAAAGGTATATGATTAATTATGATCTTCCTTAAAAGTTTTTTATACAATTCTTTTTGAAAGTTTATATATATCTATATATCTGTTAAGCACATAAACATAATATAGATATATTAAATGATTTGAATTATGTATTTGATTTTGATAATGATGAGGATTTTAAATTATAATTTTGATGATGGAAGTGATGATAATGATGATGAAAATGATGATTTATGAAAGCAATGATTATAATGTTAGTACTCGTATTATAATGATGAAAGTGTTGATAATTTAGATCTTGATGGTACATGTAATAGAGGCGATATTGAATTTTCTGATGATGACCACATTCAGTAGAGGTGCGCGGTTCAACTAGTATACTGGTAAACCACTGTCTGAGACATCTGCAGTATGTACTGGGAAAACCAGTACTTTTAGCTCTAATTTAAAGCAATTACAGATCCGTAAAATGTACAAAATGAAATCTTTTCTGTTGTCAGTATATCAATATTTCTTTGAATTAACCTTTTTGCAAACAACTTTTGAAATCATTTTTTTTTGTCCAATAGGATTACACTATTTCAAATAAATCGTAACACATTTACTTTGGTAAATCGGCAACTGTGAATCAGTCTAGGTAGACGCCACGTGCACACAGCATAGATATGCATTCGCCTATTCAGCAATGGGGAAAATTTTAGACTTGTTTTTGTGTCTTTTTTTTTTGTTTTAATAACATCACACTGTTTTCAAATTTTCTAATTTAACTAGAACTCCGCGAGTCTGATGTATCACCTTGTGAACAAAACAGTTTAGGAGAAATGGCCAGGACAAAAATGAAATATAAAAATTAACAAAGGGCAATAACTCAAAGAATAAGAAATGTAGAGCAGCAGTTTCTGTCATCCTATGAAGTTTCAAGTCTATATAGCTTTTATAATTTATGAGAAATGTCCCGGACAAAAATAAAGTATAAAAATTAACAAAGGGCAATAACTCAAAAAATAAGAAATGCAGAGTACCAGTTCTTGAGCACTGCACTTCTTTTTAATGAGATCTATCATCCTATGAAGTTTCAAGTCCATAGCTTTTATACATTAGGAGAAATGGCCCGGACAAAAATAAAGTATGAAAATTAACAAAGGGCAATAACTCAAAAAATAACAAGTGCAGAGCACCGCTTCTTATGCATTGCACTTCTTCTAAATGAGATCTATCATCCTATGAAGTTTCAAACCCATAGCTTTTATACATTAGGAGAAATGGCCCGGACAAAAATAAAGTATGAAAATTAACAAAGGGCAATAACTCAAAAATTAAGAAGTGCAGAGTACCAGTTCTTGCGCACTGCACTTCGAATCATTATAAGAAGCATGCATACCAAGTTTGAAGTCAATCCGACTTATAATGACTGACTTATGCTCCAGACAAGTTTAAGGGGACGCCGACACCGTCAACAAAAGTAACCCCTATATGTCACCTTTTTCAAGGCAACACAACATTTATGTACAACATTTCAATGAGCTTTAAGGAATTAAAATAAACATTTAACTGAAGTGATAGTGCCATGTTTGAGTATGATACTCTTTTTTTATCAATATCTTATTTTATTTACCTAATAAATAACGTGCCTGCAATGAGCCAGTGACTTTAGTCAACCGTTCTAAAACTTAACAGTTGAGAGAGGCAACGACCGAGGCACTCATTTGCTCAACATTTTGACCCAAGTTTAAACAAACTTGGTAGACACCTATTAGAAGATGTTTCATGCTTAATATCTTAGCTCTAGTTCTTTGGGGTTTTTATAAGAAGATTTTTAAGTTTTTACAATATATACATAAAGGGAAAAACAATGACTCCCTAAGGCTGGGTCAATTTTTAACCCAGGGCTTTTATATGAACAAACTTGGTAGACATCCACTAGAAGATGTTTAATGCTTAATATCTAAGCTCTAGCTATTTTGGTTTTTTATAAGAAGATTTTTAAGTTTTTTACTATATACAAATAAGGAAAATAAATGACTTGCTTCCACCCCCCTGGGCGGGGCCAATTTTCACCCCAGGGCATTTTTTGAACAAACTTGGTAGACACTGACTAGCTCTAGCTCTTTCGGTTTTCTAAAAGAAGATATATTTTAATATTTTAAGTTTTTTCTTTTGGTTGCCATGGCTTGGAATTAAATTATTTGAACAATTTTTCAAGTTGACTACCACAGGAACATTCCTGTGAAGTTTGGATGAAATTGGCTTAGCGGTTTATGAGGAGATGTCGTTTAAAGTAAAAGTTTATGGACGGACGCTGGACAAAAAGCGATCACAAAAGCTCACCAGCTCACCATGTCACTTTGTGACAGGGGAGCTAAAAACAAGAACTGATCATGACCCAATTAATTTATGATTGTCAACATGCGCAGCTTATTTGATGTCGAAAGTACCTGATTGAAAAAAAGTTAAATGATACTTTGATTAATCTGTATTTTATAGATCTGCTTAATTTTGATATTTAAAATTCTATACCATTGCCTACCTTGATACTTATTTTAGAGATAAAAAATAAACCTATAGCGTACAATGAAAATCCGCGGTATACCATGGTTTATACCGTGTTTTTTAGGGAAAAAACGTGGTATACCGTGGTATTTTCTTTCTGGCAGTACCCAACTCTATACCATTATAAGTACTACTGACCACAAAATTACTGATTATGACCATTTTTCCTATTTTAAGTCTGAATATATAAGTGATGACATTCAGATTATGATTATAATTAATAGGGTGATGACATTTTGATGATAGTGGCTGTGATGATGATGATGTTTCTGGTGGTGATAGACTGATGATGATTTAGGTAATTATGATTATTATTGCCTTTCCTGGAAGGCGATATATAGAATTAACTAGATGTGAACAAGGACTTCTAATGTGACACCACCTGCCTTTAGCCAATCAAAGCAAATAATTTAATATCAGTATTATATTACTTCATAACAAAGTATTAAGTTAAACTATGACACTGTATTAACTCAAACTTATAAGCGATGAATGGTTTATTTGCCATGATAAAAAATTGGGTATTAAAATTTCAAAATGATTAATTTAGACAATATCATTTCAATCAGTGAACAATAACATATTAAGATATGCATGTTAGATATTAATAAATGAGTTAATTCAATGCATTAAGTATAAGGTTAGAGTGCATATTGGGTGTTCTTCGTAAATAAGAAAGCTAAAAAGGAGCGGAGCTTGCTAAGCGACTGTAGCTTTCTTATTTACGAAGAACATCCAATATGCACTCTAACCGGCTTAGTGCTCCGCCCATTTGTGTTTTATAATATAAAACGTCCAGTTTATATAAAATCTGTTCTATTAAGATTTGAAACCTGAAAATTTAAATTGAAAAATCCTCATCGGTGATTGGCTTATAAAAATGGCGAGCACTTAAATCTTTTTTATTTATTATTATAATTATACTGTTAAAGAAAATTTACATGACTCTTAAATTAGAATACATTGCGTATTAGAAAGTGTTGAGATTGTTAAATTCTTATTGACAGCCGGGGGGGGGGGGGGGAGCTGATTATTACATTACACCTAATCTTGGTAACTAAGGATATCAGCAGAGCAGACTGGAAAACAATGTTGAAAATTTACTTATTTTAAACTCTTAATCAGAATACACATTACTTATTTTAAACTCTTAATCAGAATACACAGCATATTAGAAAAAGTGATATAAAGGTCAAAAAAGAGAAGAAAAGTAGAAAAGTAAAATCTTATTATAGCCGTTATTGGGTCATATTCCCAATTAAAAATAGTATATTATTTTCCCAATCTACAGGAAAATATTCCCAATTGAAGGTTACAAAATAAAAATATTGAATAAAGAATTCTAACATCTTTAAAAAAAATAAGGGCTTCTTCACTGTAATAGTGCTTAAATGTTTAAAGATGCCATCCTCGACATGGATTGTTTGCATTCATTGAAACACTGCAAAATTTCAGTCATGCATTTTTTCCCAATTTTTAACAAAACAACGCTGACATTCCCAATGCCATGGGTATGGGTCATGTTCCCAAAATCCTGGAAAAAAATCCCTGATAATAGAAAATTCAAGTTTTTTCTTTAATCTACTATCTATTTTTCTTATTTATCTTGTGATATCATATATGAAAACTATTTTACTTCACTTGTGGCTCGATCCTGTCACTCATGTAATATTTATTATAACTTCAGCATATAACCAACAGTGTATTGAAAAACTTTAATTTATAGAAAAAAATGAATTTCCTCCATTTATCCATTATTATGATCTAATATATAATACTAGATTATTCTCTTCATGATTAACATCAATAAAATGTAAATGATTTATGTGAATAAATCTCAAATTATTTATACTGTATATATAGATCTACTTTAATTAGTATTTTTTTCCCCTAAAATTATTAACTGATTAAATTTTAGAAATTGGAATTTCATGCAGTAAAATGTATTGTTCAATTTTAAAGTTCCTGCAGTTGGACAAAAATACTCGGGCAGTTTCCAGATAAGCTGAAAGTGTTTATATATAATAAATATGTAAAATAATCCTAAACAGTTATAAATCTAAGTCGATTACCTCTACTTCTTCAGCTTGGATGTTGTTGAACATGTCCTCATAATTCTTCTCCAAATGTCAGTTTATGGCGAAATATTAACCTGGAAGTTTGCATGCCTGTGTCACTGTGCTATAATTAGCAGAACAAAAACGGCGCGCGACGCGTTAATTGAAACTGGCCCAATTCATTCTGCTTTTGATATAAGGGGTGTTACCTTAAGGCGGCCTTGAACTGCAATAAGATTTCCTTATCATCTCCGGTGAGAAAATTTAAAATTGAAAGACACTTTTTGCAAATCATCTTTTTATCAAACTGTATTTTAAGAAAAAAGAGAATAAAATTTGCAAATTTAAACCATCGGCATGAGACCCGATGTACCCGTGTATTACAATGGAACAGTCGACTCTACAATTTAACATCAGTAAATCATTACACGGACTGGTGAGGCGCTGTGTACACATGACCTAACACACGATGAATGACATAAGCTGCTGTTTTATTGGTAAGTTTTTTGTTGTTATTTTATTCCATCATTATTATATCGCAATGTAAAATGATATAAATTGTTCGTTGTAAATAAAGTTCCATTATAATTATGAAACGCATTGTTTACCGCATTGACTAAGCTACTCAACACTATGCTGTTGTTGTATTTGTTTTGTTTTCTTCAAAACTATACAGTACAGACGATTTTTGATGCATGTGTTATAGAAAATAAGAGTAGGCCTACTAGTAGGTCACCCTACTAGTACTGATGAAATAAAAACCTGTCTACGGACTGGTACAAACTTGTAGGACAGAACAAAGTTAGGTAGGCTGTCTAGCATGATTTCACCATGTTTTCAATGTTATACATTTTCTTTACTTTTCATTTATTTATTGAAATATTGGCCAAAATGTTACTGGGGTCCTACATATTCGCTCATTCTCAATAAGACACAGCATTTGATGTTCCACTGGGTAGCTCTTATACGAAGGTTTTTCTTGAGGTCAAAATGTCGTTAGAAAGGTGGCTGCCACTTTGTCTAATAGGGACACTCTCAGTTTTACATTTCTATCTGTTATTTTTCTTTTACAAGTACCATTAATGCCCTAAAATGTAACATACGTTACTGTCGCCACCTAGAATTTTCAACTTTGAAATTGTGTTTCAGAAAAATAAGTTCCAGAATAAACGAAACATGTGCAATTAGTCATTGCTGTGTGTATATGCACTTTGATTATTGGTTAATATTATATTTGACTGTTAAAATCTCATTGGTATAATGGATGATCAAATGTCGCCAAATGCATATAAATAAATAGTGACAAACCTAAAACAATAAGAAGTGAAACCCAAATTACATAATTGAATCGATGCATGCTTAATAATACAGCATATATATAATTATAAGTAAAAATAAGCTTGCAGCCTCTCAAATATCATTCTATTTTCGGAAATTTTCATTTTTTAGCTCGACTTTTCTATGAAAAGGGGAGCTATCCTACTCGCCCCGGCGTCGGCGTTGGCGTCACACCTTGGTTAAGTTTTTCGTACCACCCCACTTTATTTCAGAAGTATTACAAGTATGGCTTTGAAACTTACCATACTTGTTCACCATCATAACCTCCATCTACAGACAAGAGTACATAACTCTGTCAAGGTTTTTGACAGAATTATGGCCCTTTTTTGACTTAGAAAGTGTATTGAGCTTGGTTAAGTTTTTTGTACCACCTCACTTTATTTCAAAACCATTGGAGGTATTGCTTTGAAACTGACCATACTTGTTTACCATCACGACCTTCATCAACAGACAAGAGGACATAACTCTGTCAAGGTTTTTGACAGAATTATGCCCCTTTTTGACTTAGAAAATACATTGAATATGGGTAAAAATCCACTTATTGCCTTAACCCTTTGAGATATTGCTTTGAAACTTTTAATGCTATTTCACATCATTACCCCCATCTGTACGCAAGAGAAGGTAACTCTGTCAAGGATTTGTTTTAAAAATTAAGGCCTTTTATCGACTTAGAATCTTGGTTAAGTTTTTAGTACCAGTCCACTTTTTGACTGAACTGTTTGAGATATTAATTTGAAAGTTGGAATACTTGTTTACAATCATGATTCCCAAACATGTCCAGAGAAGAAGGTAATTCTGTCAAAGATTTTATTTGAATTATGGCCCTTAACTGTCAATGTTTTGTATTATAGGCAAGCACTAAAAAACTTAAAAAATCTAAAAAAATTCATTCCTATCCACTTGTTCACTTTACCATAAATTATGTCATATAAACATTGCTGTAATATTCAAGGGTATCAAACAACTAGTTTTTTTTTCTTTCTTACCAGCCCTCTTTTGACTTAAACATTTCAAACTTTGCTGCAGTGTTCAAGGGTATCACACAATTCAGTAAAATAATTCTTCACTAAATATCTTAATGCTCATGGCCATTGTTCACTTTAAAAATACAGAGATTCTTGTATTGCCTTTTACTGCAAAAACTTTTTTTATTGGCAAGCAATAAAAAAGTCGAGCGCGCTGTCTTACGGACAGCTCTTGTTATTCATATCTTTTCAACAGCACTTTAAAAAGAAACATACGTTACCATTATTTAAGAGCCAATCCATTCAAAGAAGAATCCAAACAAGAAAGAAAATTAACATGTGTGTAACTCTGATATATTAACCACAAATTATGGCGGCTTAAACGGTCTTGCGTCATTTTTAACCCACTTTCAATGTAAAAATGAAACATACGTTACAGAAACATACGTTATCGACTTTTTAAAGTAAGTTTATCAAAAGGGAAATTGAAGTCAGAAAGCACGTATAACATCAACATTAAGTTCTATTTGACATTAGTAAGTAAGTTTTGTTAACTTTGGTCGTGTTTTTACTTGTTTAAGTAACCACAGTGAAACAAACGTTACTTTTATCAAACAGACTTTATATTGTTTACACATGCATATATAAAAACATAAAATCGCATTTTTATGACAATAGAATGATGTGCATTTGATTCCTAAATAAAAAAGTAGATTTTACATGTAAGTTTAAATTCCGTGATAAAGTTCATAAATAAGCGAGTGTGAAACATACGTTACTCCAACTTATTTTTGAAAATTAAAGATAAAGTTGGGATTAGCATGCCTCGTTAGTAACGGTTACCATGTATTAGATGTAAGAAGACACAAAATTGTTTTTACAAAGGAAAAGATATGTTAATAATATGTTGATGTACCAGCAGAAAT